CATGTGTGATTTTATTAGATATTGCCATATTCCCCTCCAAAAGAGTTACGCCAGTATGCATTCCCAGTGGCAGGGTGTGACAAGGCTTGTTTCCCCATATCCTCACCAGCAGAATGTGTTGTCATACTTCTCAATTTTTTGCCAATCCAATAGGTGAGAAATACTATCTCAGTATCTCATTTTAATTTTTATTTCTTTATCAGTGGATCTCAGCTTTTTTTCATGTTTCAGGCCCACTTTTATCTCTTTTTCTAGTGAATTGTCTATTCATATGTCTCATTTTCTATCAGATTTTTTTGATCCTTTGGCCCTTTTTGAAAAAATGTGGTAAAAGATACATAAAATAAAATTCACGACTTTAACCATTTTTAAGTATACAGTTCAGTGGAATTCAGTGCATTCACAATCTTATACAACCATCACCACCATCTTGCACAACTGAAACTCTGTACCTGTTAAACAATAACACCCCAATTTCCCCTCTCCCCTCAGTCCTGGCAATCACCATTCTACTTTCATTTAATTATCTGAAGCACCTAGAATGAGTGAAATCATACAATATTTGTCCTTTTTGGATTGTATTTTTTCACTTAGCATAATATCTTCAAGTTTCATCCATGTTGTAGCATGTGTCAGAATTTCCTTTCTTTTAAAGGCTGAAAAATGTCCCATTGTGTATGTATATCACATGCTGTGTATCCGTTTATCCTTCATTGTACACAGGTTGCTTCCACCTTTTGGCTGTTGTGAATATGCTGCCATGAATGCTTTAAGACCCTGATTTCAATTCTTTTTGGGTGTAGACCCAGAAGCTAAATAGCTGGATCATATAGTAACTCTTTTCTTTGATTTTTTAAATTAGACTGCCATACTATTTTACATAGTGGCTATACCGTTTTGCATTCCTACCAGCAGTGCACAAGTGTTCCAGTTTCTTCACATCCTTGTCAAACACTTGCTATTTTCCACTATAAAAAAAAAACTTTTCCTAAAGTTTATTTATTTTGAGAGAGACAGAGAGAGGGTACAAGTTGGGGAGGGGCAAAGGAGGGGGGTACAGATGATCCAAAGCAAGCTCTTTGCTGACAACAGCTCTTTGCTGATAACAGATGCAGGGCTCAAACCCACAAACCGCAAGATCATGACCTGAGCCTAAGTCAGATGCTTATCCCACTGAGGCACCCAGGCGCCCCTCAACTTTTTGGCTATTATGAATTATGCTGTTATGAACATTTACCTGCAAGTTTTTGTACAGACATTATTGGGTAGATATCTAGAAGTAGGATTGCTGGGTCATATGTTTAACTTTTTAAGAAACTGCCAAACTTTTCCAAAGTGGGTATGATGTTTATATTCTCATGCTTCTGGATTTTGATTCATAATTAGAATGCCTTTCCCTATAGCAGGGTTAAAGAGGAATTTGTGTCCTTCTAGTACCTATGTTGATTATATTTTTTGCATTTTGTATTTTCATTTGGAGTTTATTCTTATGTATGTGTGAGCTTATTTTCTTTTAATATCCTTATTTTCCATAACTCTTAATCATTTTTTTCTTATTATAAAATTGATATGTTGCTTCTTGTAGGACATTTAAAATGAAAAATATAAAGAATAAATCTTAAAACTGCCATAATTTTATCACCCAGAGATTACCACCCTTTATAATTTTCCATCTTTGGGTAATATAGTCTTGGTTTCCTGATAATATTTTAAGAATGTTGAGTAAAGAAACAGAGGAAAGTGGGGTTCCCTTAAAGGGTCTCTTAAAGACCTATTCTAGTTTAACCAGTTTAGAAGCAATTGACCCATCTTCCTTTCCTTTCAGTTTAGCATAGACCTGTTTTATGTAAGACAAGTTTAATGAACACAAGGCTAATAAAACTATTCCACACTTCCAACCATCTAGAATATATTACAGGATATAGTCTCAGCTACACAAGTAATAGAATAGATTCTAAGAAACAGTTGATGAATCAAATAGTGAACTCACCTGTTCAGTGTTCTACAGAAAAATAAAGATGCTACTTCTTTTCTCAAAAATGTATGTGTATATTTTAAGAAACATTTCATAAAAGATCTCACAAAATGTACAGTTCATATACATGAAATGTTTTTTGCTTTTTGTCCTAGGATTATATTCTTTTCTTATTGAATGTGTATCATGGAAGCTTTTGCCTTGATTTTCTGTGTTTGTCAATTTGCACATGCTCGGCTAACTTGAATTCCTAGCATAGGCAATTAAATAGCCTGTGAAAGAGGAAACATTGGTGTTCCATTGTATTTTCACCCATTTAAAGAAATCTTGGAAATTTTTAGGAGGGCAAAACTATGGAGTTAAAAGTATCATTACTTTGGAGTTTGTCAATTTACATGAATGAAACATGGAGGTTTTCAGCTTAATAACTATAAGGAAATATCAGAGCAATCTAAAATAACACTAACTTTACCAACAGTTTTTATTTATTTGTTTGTTTGTTTGTTTATATTTTAGAGAGAGCACATGAGTGGGGGAGAGGGACAGAGAGATAGAATCCCAAGTAGGCTCCACGCTCAGCACAGAACCCGATGTAGGGCTCAATCCCACGACCCTGGGATCATGACCTGAGCCAAAATCAAGAGTCAGACACTCAACCAACTGAGCCACCCAGGCACCCCCATTTATTTTTTCATTTTTTATTTTTTTTAAGTAAGTTTCATGCTCAGCGTGGAGTCCAGTATGGGGCTTGAACTCACAACCCTGAGATTAAGACCTGAGCTGAGA